AAAAAAAAAAAAAAAAAAAATGACCAGAAGGGGAAAAAAGTCACTTGAGAGGAAAAAAACAACTTGTAAATAGACATACGTAAAAATACTGCTGGCCAATTTGCGTCTATAGGTCCAAATGCAACATCCCTTTTCATTATTTTAAATCTACTTGAAGAAACACCAACTACGTTTCATAAAGAGTTCTGATTTTATACCCTATAATAGCATGTTTCATCTTTTTCATGTTCCTGTGTTTTTACTCCATACTCATTTCCATAAATATGTAAATACTCCTGTAAGTTTTTAAACTTAACATGATACTGTATTGTATAGATGGTTCTGCAATTTGGTAGGGTTTTTTTTTTTTGTTATCATTAATCTACAATTACATGAAGAACATTATGTTTACTAGGCTCCCTGGTGGGGTTTTTTTATAGACGTTTTTTAGAGCCATTTTAGGTCTACAGCAAATTTTGGCTTGCCCTACCTAGGACTGCAAAATCTACAAATGCCATTGGCCACATTAACTGATTAGAGGACAAAACCCATATTATAATTTCAATAGATGTCGAAGAAGCACTTGATAAAATATTCATCATTTAAAAAAATGGCAAACTATGAACAGAGGGGGACTCTCCCAATCTGATAGAGTCTATCTACAAAAAAATGTTTCTAATCTGAAGGAGAATATCTGAAGGGGAAGCGTTGTGTATTTTCCTCCGTTCTTGTACCTGCTGCAACAAAGAATTTAAGGGCAGAGAAATAGTAATGAAGCAGAGTAAAAGTTTTATTTAAAGTTACTTAGAGGGAGGAGCCATGATGGCGGCGTGAGCAGAGCAGAGGAAATCTCCTCCCCAAACCACACATATTTTTGAAAATACAACTCTCCGTAAAAGAGAGACCAGAAGACACAGGACAACAGCCAGACTACATCCACACCTGTGAGAACGCAGTGCCTAGCGAAGGGAGTAAGATACAAGCCGCGGCTCGGCAGGACCTGAGCGCCCCTCACCCCAGCTCCCGGCGGGAGGAGAGGAGTCGGAGCGGGAAGAGAGAGGGAGACCAGGACTGCTACATAGCCAGCCCTAGCCATCCGCACCGGAGCGCAGACACAGTGCCTGCTTGGAGTCCTGAAAACCAGGGAAACAGGACAGTAAGACCTGTGAGCGGGTCCCCGCAGCCAGCACCCCAGGGACAAAGAAAAGCGAGTGCTTCTTCAAAGTCTTAAAGGGACAGGGACCGCAAAGCTGGATGGAAGCATCCCGGGACACTTAGCCCAGCAGCTGGGAATCCCGCGGAACTCTGGGCACTTTAACCCCCTGGGCAGCAGAGCTGCTTCTGTAATCAGCTCTTGTGATCAGGAAGCTCCTGTACAGCTTCTGTGATCCTGGTCTGGGACAGGAGGATCAGGTGGGCGACCTCCAGTACACGAAACTGCTTCCCACACACACGGATTTTGCTGTTTACAATGTGGAGGACTCAGAAGCAGTGCCCCCAGGGGCACCGTCCCTGCGCTGCGTGCTGTACCGGCAAAGGGGTCAGATAGACGGTACCTTCGGGGCCCTCCTCTAGCCTCATGAGCTCTCTCCACTCTTGCATGCCAGGGTCACAGGCTGCCATGTCCTCAGCCTCCCTCGAGGCCTTCTCAGCTTTCTCCAGGTGCTTCCTCCCAGCCGGCATCATCTGGAGGTGTCTTCCGCGGTGGATACAACTGTCCTGCACCTTGTAGGCCCAAGAAAGCACACGTTAAAGGAATGGGGACACTGTCAGTGCGCGATGCCGGGCATCGGCCCAGGGCGCACATCAGACTGCGTGTCCTCGTGGCTCCTCTTGGACCAGGAGCGGACAAAGCAGATGGTGATGGCGGCCCCTCCCCCCAGTCCCCACCCTGACTTCAAGGGCCTCCCCCTATCCCGCGGGGTCCTCTGAGGACACTGTAGGGACAGCGCCTCAGGGCCCGAAGCCCGCCCCGGCCGCACACCGGCCTCGCTGAGGAACCCCCGGTGTCGGCCCGCCGACCCCGCCCGCTAACACCTCAGGAGCCCCACCCCCTCCACAGCCCACCCACCCCTAAGGAGCTCTGCCCCTGACATCCCCCGGCCCCCTCAGGCCTCAGAGCCCTGCCCCGCTCACTCACCTCTCAGCAGCCCCGCCCCAGACCAGCTCATGCCTCAGAAGCCACGCCCCTGGACCACACATGTTTTAGGAGCCC